AAATTAGGTTTCTTTACAGGGAATTTAAAAAAATCAAATATAGACTTCAAGTAGTACTAACAGCATTGAGCCCATAACCTATTTTAGTTACCAAATGTTAAAAAAGTTATATGCTTTTTATTCTCAAAATGGTAGTGTGCAGCTCACTGCTCTTATAAATGTTGGGGAGAGAAAAACGTGGTGAGACGGGGAAGTGGAAACAGTGCTGAGACATCCTGCTCTCTCTGTTAGATGTTAAATGGTTCCTGTCTTATCATCTGAATTAAGTGACACTTTCTTCTGTGACTCATTTCTAGTCTATGCTTTCCTCTGTTCCCTGCACACAGCAGAGAAACTTTCACTGGGAGTTTCACCAGGGGACCTCAGCACCCTTGTCACTGGGTGCGCCCGGCACTCCCCTCAGCTCCGACAGCACCACCAGGGAGACAGGAGGCCAGCACCAGTGCATGCACGACCAACCACAGCATTACAACAGGCACCGAGAGGACCGTGACAGGGGGCTCACAGGGGAAGTGCCCACCTGTGTGATTTAACACAGCTGTGTCTCTTTTCTGTGTGTTCAGATGGGAGAAAATTCCTTTTTCCTTTTCTAAGGCAAGCTGCTGGTTGGTATTATTATTTTATTTAAACGTGGTTATAATGCAGGAGCTGACATTTACACATCTGTTCATTTCTACATTCTAGACTCAGTGAAAATGATGGAATCTGTTCCAAGCACAAATTTCGGTTTGTTCATCCTTTCCTCCACCCAGGCTTAAGTCTGCATGGAGCCCCAACTGTAGGTGCAAGGAAGCAGCGGACCATAAAAGCTGGCATCACGGTTGAATGCAGGTGGCAGCCGGCGGTCAGGGTGGGCTGCTCAGAGCAACTGGAGTGTCTACAGCGCCTCCGTGATTGTTCTTCCCTTAACACTGGAAACGCGAAATCTTGCTCAGGAAAACAACCTCCTGTGGCTGCGAGGCCAAGGTGCCTGGGCAGTCCCTTCAACACAAGGCTGTCGTCTTATGAAGACACTAGTCATGTTGGACGAAGGGCCTACCCTACTCCAGTGTGACCTTATTTTAACTAATTATACCTGTCCTGATCTTATTGCCAAGTAAGGTACTTTCTGAGGTACTGGCAGTTAGAACTTCAGCCTATGAGCATTTTAGGGACAGAGTTCAAACCCTAGCACTGGTCTTTTTGAAATCTATGCCATCAGAGTGTCCCATAAATACTATCTCTGAAACAGGACTTAAAGCCACCTATTTGTCCCCAGCTCCTCTTCTCGTCCCCAGTCCAGGTTGCTGTCAGCACTCACTGGAACTACTGCTATAGCCCATGGAATTGGGTTCACACGTCTCATGTGCAGAAATATATATTTTAAAATGTTCCTTAGCTTTACTGAATTTCTACCTCCTGTCACCATGGCGACTGGTACAGGAAGCTCAATCTTGTCATGCCCAGGTCAGCTCAGTGAAATTCAGTGACTTCTCAGTTAACTCGGGATTAAGCTCAGTCATATTCAAGGATGTCTCCTTCCCTCCCTCCATCCTTCTTGGCAAGGCAAAGCTATCCCTGGGGGGACCACGGCATGGTGCAGTGGCACTGAGGAGGCATCTGGATGCTTGGTCACTCTGGGCTGACATCGGTATTCCACAGTGATGTCTGGTCTTGATGGTGGGATTCTGGTGAAGACCCTCCCCTCCCCAACCCCTGCACCGGTATTTGCCGAAGCAACCTGGGCCCACATCTCAGAACCATGCTGCTGTCTATTCTGCATCTCATCCTCACGTCTGCATTCTCAGCAAGCTCATTCCCTGGAACCTGGGAGACTGGCTACTCTTCCCATAGCTGCCGGGATCTGCAGGACCCTGCAGGGCTGCCCCCTGGCCCAGAGGCCTAGGCACTTTGGAGAGGGACCTGTCCTCTGTGGGTTGATCTGCATGGGTGGCCAGTGTCCCAGAGCCCCAGGTGGGGAGTCGGCACCAGTCTCTTTTATTCCTGGATTTCCTGAAACATATTTAGAGTTCAGTGGTTTTCATAGGACTCACTGTTGACTATCATTTCTTTGTCTATAAGCTCTTGAACATTAATCCTCCCGTTCTCCTTTGTATCCTTTGTACTTAGCACAGTGGCTAATGTATTCTTGGCGCTCAGTAAAGTATCCGTGGAATGAATGAGATTCCAGCTATCTTCTGGAGAGAGTATGTGACACCTGTGAGATGACACATCTTAGGTGTTCCAGTGCGGTGGGTAAATCAGCGCAGTGGAGGCGGAGCCAACCTTCACCCAGATCCCAGCCCTGCCATTTGCTAGCCGGGCAGCCCTGGGCCAGTGACTGTGCTCTGTAAGCCTTAGCTTTCTCAGACGGGGATGGGAAACGGCTCCATAGGCTGAGATCTGGTGTAAATTAGATAATGGCCATAAAGAACTTAATGTGCCCCCTGCTGCTTAAGCAAGTACACTGTAAAGGACTGCTTTAGTTTTTACTGTGCTTTCTTTAGCTCCTGTGCACCCCTCCGAACTTCCGTATAGAGTGATTTCTGTGAGCTCTGAAGGAGGGACCCGTGCTGCTGGGCCTCAGATCCATACTTGGCTGACTGTGGAGTTGGAATTATCAAACCAGGCTCTGGAAAGGGCAGTGTGAGAGCAGCCAGAGCCCATGCCTCCACCCCGGGTTCCCTGAGAGCGATGGTCGTCCTGGTCAGGGGCTCCCCTGTCAGCTGGAAGGATGCACGATCCCCGCCACTGTTCATATGTTCAGGTAGACGGTGAAAAAAGTTACCACGGTTGAAACACAAAAGCCACTTTTTTTCCTTAGGAGGTACTAGACAATGGATCTGAACTTCATTTTAACTTCCAAAAAAAGCAGACAGGGCAGGAGGTTTTAGACCATGGGGGAGAAAAGATGTATTTTCCTGGTGGGAGTTTCTTTTGGGGTTTAGGGTGTAAGCTGCTCTGTGAACATTGGTCACGTGCTCTAATTACTGCAATGAAATGGCAGGGTACTGCTGCCTTCTTTCTGTTTCTCCACGCCAGTGTGGGGTGGGGAAGGGGTGACATCATTCTCTTCTGTCTCTAGGTCAAGCGGGTGCCAACCCGAAGGCTTGCTCCTGTTTTCCACAATTGGGTCTCACTTTGTGGGGGAAATTTTCCAACGTGCCACTCTATTCTGAGCACAGCACTTTCATTTTTATGGAGGAAGCTGAGAGAAGTCTAGCAAGTCTGAAATTGTAGGTGAGTTGGCAAGGAATAGTGACCTCCTTGTTTCTAAAGTGCACCAGGGGAAAATAAAATCATGCACGAGGAGGACTCACACACCCAAAACCAATATTACTTTCCGAGTGGAATTTCATGGAAGGAGCAGCAGTACCGAGGGCTGAGTTCCAGGGCGCTGCCAGAGCAACTGGTTACCTTGGCTTGCGGTTTGCAAAACGGGGAAACAACAACAATGCCAATGAAATCAAAGTTAGTTAATGAAGCTCCCAACAGCAGTAATTAATAGCATTGCTTTCAGCATGCTGCGCTGTTCACAGCAGCCCTTGGAGGCAGGTTTGTTAGTTTGATTTTACAGGTGGAGAAAACTGAGGCAGAGGGAAGCTCAGAAAGTTGCCCCAGTTTGTGCAGCCCGGCGGTGCAGGGCGAGGACTGGCCCACCCAGGCTCTCCTCTGCCGGCCACCCCCACGTCCCGCACAGCGCTGGTGAGGAGGGCTGCCGTCCCTCTGCTAGAAGGGAAGTCAAGTGTGTCTGGAAAAGTGCATTTTCTTGATACGGGAAGATTTACTCTGTAAAGGTCCAAATCTGATGTTAGCTACTTGATGAAGTCTTTCCATAAACATCTCTCTTCTCCAGTCTTAAACAGAGAGTACAAAAATGGACATAACTGTTTATGTCCCAGCGTATTTAACCTACCATGCATACTGTGAGCCAAACTGTCCAAGTGCTTTGCCTGTGTGATCGACCCTTGAGTCTCCTACCAAGCAGATAGAGGGGCACTGATACTGACCCCTCTTTTTGATAATAAAAGTGGGGCACAGAGAAGTGAAGTGATTGGCCCTGGGTCCCAGAATTGGGACCCAGCTGGGATTTGAACCTGGGCTCTGATTTCAGGGCTTGTGCTCTGACTGGTCAAGAGTCCTGAATGAGGCCCAGGGGAATGCTCAGTGTCATGATGGCAATGAGCGTCTTTATGGATCCCCTTGACCCCTAAGTGTGCGCCAAGCACTGCGCTGGGAGCTGCATGAGTCTCAGCTCCCTCAGTCCCCTCCACCAGCCTCAGTGGCAGGTGCTGCTGTAATTCTGTTTTATTGCTCAGGGAACGAAGACTTAGAGAGTTTGAGTGACTTCCCAACATCACTTAGCTAATAAGTGGCAAGAGTCGAGGTTCAAATTCATGTCTGTAGCACCAAAACTCATGCCTCGACCCTACTTTTCAAGGTGGCCTTAGTGAAAAGGTCTTCAGAGGTTGCCATCCTGGGGGACTGGGCACAAGCTACTCTGCTGTCATCATCCTGTTCCATTGCTTCTGCCTGTCCCAGAAGCACCAGTCTATACTTACTCTTAGCAATTTCCTGTCTGGACCAGTAGAGGCTGAGTGCTGGTCGGTGTTGAATTCACTTCAACATCAGGCTGAGCTTGTCATCTGGGACATGGTACCACAGCAGGGAGCAGAGTGATTGATTTGGGGCTTTGATACAGGCACCCAGGACCAGTTCAAAGGCAGTCAGCTGGTTAAAGTACAAAGTCAAGGCAGGTGAGGACCAAGAGGCATGCAATAATCATCAGAGGCAGGCATAGGGCCAGATGTTATTTATTGTTACACGTCACAGACATTGTTTTGCTTTCTTCATGCTGGCAATGCCCTGTTGGCAATGCCCTCCTGCCAGAGCAAGGCCAGAAAATGCCAGTGGCTCCCTTTTCCAGACTCCTTTGCAGCTACAAATAACTCTAGAACACAGTTGCAGCTAGTGAGATGTTAGGGGAAGTATGTTTTCTTTTTGATAAAAAGAGAAAGAATTGCACAGATGATATCTGCATTCAGCAGTTTATTCCTGCTGGGTGTGCAAAGGACAGTGTGATACAAATTCAGTATCTGGCATCACTGTTTTTCTTGGCTTTGTGCATGTTAAGCCTGGTACTTTTTTTATTAATACACTGTTTATACACTTTCTTACTGTTCAGTTGGACATAATCTTTGATAGGAACTATCCTTTTCTTTTTGTAGAATATCAGTAATTGAGAAACCAGGCAGATTCAGCTTCTTTGACCCTAACTGTGACTGACTGACATGACAACTGGATTGAACAAAAATTATTTTTAAGAAGGATTAAGATTCAAACTCAGGAGGAATTAAGGCAGTGGAAGGAATCAGAGCATGTGAAATTCCTTAAATAAAAATTTATTACCTTTTTTTTTAAAGGGGGAGATACGTGAGGACACTGTCTCGCTTGATCCCTCTTTTCCTGCTCTGGATTTTCTTGTGTGGGCTACTGATGCTTAGAGCTTATGACCACGAGGGATAAGACCTGGAGTGAAGGCTGAGCACAGCACCATGGAAGAACAGCAAAGTGGCAGCGCAGCCGAGCTGCTGAGACAATGCCGGAAGCAGCTACCTTTGTATTTTGTTTTCTGTGAAAAACGTTGAAGCCACTTCTAGTCCTATATTAAAGTACCCTAAGTGACATCGTCTCAGAAGGTTTCATGAACTCACCTGTATCTGTTGCAGGTGTCACTTGTACTGCCAGGCCACTGACACCCCATTTACCCAAGGCTCTGCCGGTTCTGTGTGGAACCGGAGTCATGCACTGCAGACCTAGGTGGGCCTTGAGGTGAAGGAATGGGAAAAAGCACACCTGGGCAGGGCGGGAAGGAAAGGCCTGGTGGGTTGTGCTGTTGGCTCCCTGTCTGAATGCACTCTCCTTTGCAACTGAGCTGCATTTTAAAGTTTTGGGTTAAATCATACTCTTTCCCTTCCTGCAGCCTTGTAGGTGTGTCAGGCTTCAAGAAAATTTGTCTCTGGACAACTTTCTTTATTTTGCCATAATTGGCTTGTCTCATTGCTGATGAGGCAGTTTTAACCTCGACTGAGAGACGTCCCATAACCTTTGCACAATCAGCTGGTCATCAGCGGCTGTTTGAACTATACCACTTGTAAGCTCCAGAGGCCAGTCCTTAAGGCCAGAACATCCATGAACAGTTCAGCTGCCTGCTGACCACTCCAGAGGCAGAATCAGCATTTAGTAATTTTGCACAGTTCTCTTTTTTGGGGGCAGTGATTGGTGTTCAAAAAAATCTCTTAGGAGCCATTATTATTAGATAGCATAGTTCACAGGTAAGGTGGGGACCCCAGGAGCAGTCACGTGCCCCTTCTCACAGTAGCGCCAGGGTTATTGTGTCCACATGGTGTGGGTCAAATTCATGCTAACAGAAGGATATGCCTTCTTCATGTGAAATCAGACAGTGGGTTTTTTTTTAGAGAAAAATTAGTCCTCATGCAGCAGGCATGAATCTCTATGTTTAAATTGAAGTGTTCAAAAATATAATTGTATTATTATTTTCTAGCTTTATTGAGATACAATCAATGCTGTGTAAGCTTTAGATATACAGTGTAATAATTTGGTATATGTATATATTGTGACATGCTGACTGCCACAATAAGGTTAGTTAACACATCCTTCACCTCATGTAGTTACAATATTTTCTTTTGTGGTGAGGACTTTTAAGGTCTATTAGCAACTTTCAAGTATACAATAACTAGGTGTTGGGAATCGTCCTGCCTGGTTTCAGGAGCTGTAACCCCCCCATGGCTAAGGTTGAGTCAGCGACCTTCAGACCATAAGCCACTAAGGAGACAAAGCTTATTTCCCTGGCAGGAATACCACTTCTGCTCCTTTTATTTCATCTATAACTGGCCCCCAATGCTTGATCAATTAGCCAATGACAGTAAGATTCCCCTAGTGGGGATGACCTAAGACAGGTATGATCACATGGAGGGCCCAGGGAAGGCCTTGGGGGGCTATGGAGAAAGGGGGTGATGGGTCCTCGCCCCTTGGCTTTGACATAAGCCTGAGTCTTCATTCTGTCTGCGAGAAGTCTCTAATCTCTTGGCTGCTTTACTTCCCCTGCCTCACTTAAGCCTGAAACAATGACAACTATGTTTTAGAGGAGGAAAATAGGAAAAAAAGTTTCGAAGTAAAAATTGTGGTACAATATTTAATAATATAAAAACATAATAGTTCACCAATGTAAATGTAAACAGAACTCAACAGCACCTATAACAACCATTATTCTTCCCAAATTTGGGGGAAAATGTGCGTCTTATAGTCCAAACAAACATGGTAATTCTCTTTCTGTCTTTTCATCTCCCGACATGTGGACGTACTTCTGGCTCAGCTGGGAAACACACTGTTGTTCCTGGAGTTATTCCAAATCTGGGAGTCACCCCATCCAGAGGTGTGGGCTCACTTGGTCCTTGGACCTGGGGGGCCCGCATGCGGCTGGTTGTGGACACCACCATCCTGGTTCTCCCGGCCCTTGGCTGTGGGGATTCTCTACTGCCTCCGTGCAGTGCCTGACACACAGACGTCTTTGCCGAGGCTGATTCTACTTCAGTCTGCAGTCATGTTCCTCCAGAGCCTTTCTGCGTTTCACTGTCGCTTCCAGGATTTGGTTTCATTTGGCTCTTAGAACCCACGGAACAGTTGGCGTGTCTCCCTTTTCTTCTTTTCCCTTCCTTCTCTCCCTTCTATACCTCAACCCACACGGAAAGGGAAATGTTTTCTAAAATGGAGGAAATTCTCCCTTCACCTTCTTTCCAGAAACCCTTTCTATGCTTAACACATACCCCTCTGCTAAGGGCTTAGGCTTTGAAAACAAAAGCAAAAAAGATTTGCAGGCCACTTGTTTCCATTCCGCCAGGTTTATACCAACTATTTAAATGCAAGGACTGGGGTTGGGGTGGGGGTAGAGGATAGGAAAAAAAAGATACAAAATGAAAACAATCCATAGAGTACTATTTCAGAATAGAGCAATATTTCCTCTGTTGACATGCACTTCCCCAGAAGGTGGCTGGCACACTGCGGGGTGCGCCCCCCACCCCAGGACTCAGCAGTCTCTTATTCTTTGAAATCGTGCAGGTCTGAGATGCTGGATTTTCTCAGACAGGAAAAGCCGGTGGGTGAGGTGGGGCGGGGACTGGAAGTTTTTTTTCTCACCTGGGGAAGTTAGAGGTTCCTGAAGGAGAGATTGCGCTCTGGATCCAAGGAGCTTCGGAGGGAGCTGTGGCCCGTGGTCGAGGCTGGCCCTGAAAAGAGAGGCTGAGAGGGAACTGCACAGAGGGCCGTTCTTGCCTGAGGCCTTAGACTCTCGCAGTGGGAGGGGGGCACGTCCTGAGGCCCAGTCTTCCTTCGGTGCAGTTATGAGACACCCACTCACCCGAGCTTGCCCTGTGCTTCATTCCTGGAGTCAGGGAAATCCTGGGGGGTGGCATGGGACAGGATGGTGATGACTCCCCAGTCACCTCATGGGCTCCAGCCAAGACAGGGTTGAAAAGGTGCTGGTTACCCCTGCCCGCTGGCTGGTGCGGAGGACTCTGTGGACCAGATATGGTCAAGATTTCTCGTTCCTGAGACCTCATGAGGCTGAGGTTGCTGATTTATCTCATTTCCACAGGTGGGCAAATGGCCTATAGGACAGGAGAGGGGCCCAGCCACACCTGGGTTACATATCTGTTTATTTAGTCAACACCTGGTGAATAAAGCTCACCTGGCGACCGGGGAAATTACTTTTTCTGTTGTTATACAAAGATTAGTCCTTGCCTTTGAGAAGTTCAAAATTCGGTAGAAAAGACAAATTTCTACACAGATAAGTGGAGTTCCTAGCGTGTCTGTATGTGTGTGTGGTGACCATTTTCTCACTGTTCTCACGTCTCTGCCCCAGAATAACGAAGGTCTGACCCACCCTGCCTCCCCTGACTCGCTCCTCCTCCCTGGAGTGGGGAAGTGACTCACCTGTATTTTGCCACGGATAATGTGCACTTTCTTGCCCAAAATTTTTGAGGGAAAAGTAAGGATGCACATTATATGTGGGTAGTACTAATACTATATCTATATAAATGTTTTAAATTCTATTAGTTATGCTTACGTGATAAAAGTATAACTCTAGAAAGCAATAACTATCCATATGCAAAAGTAATACCCTGGAATATGGTAATTGATTTTGTTTTTAAATATAAATAGATAAAAAATTGAAATGAGAAAATCAAAATGAAACATTTTTTTTTCTGATAGTTTGGGCCAAAAACATGGGTGCACATTATACTTGGCCAAATACAGTACTCATGATTTTTTAATATATGCAAAAGCTGACTATTTAGTCAGGGGCACTGACCTCTCTTCCCGTAGATTGTCAGATAAAACCATGACAGCAGCCAACACAATAGCCATCTAGTGTGAATGAATCACAATTATACCTATTGTTTTTGTCAGATTAGCAAAAAATATATATTTTGGTGTGCTGCAGAGTTTTAGTAGTTTATGTGTGCCATGAGATAGGGTTAAAAATCATTTCTCTAGATTATTCTGTCAGAGGGAGTGATATGTTCATTTAAAGGTCACCCCAAATGGCCTGCCCCTGATATTGGAGCTCCACCTCTTCAACTTATGCATACATTTCTGAATGGATTCCAAAATCGTTGGGGGTGGTGGTAGTAGTAATGTATGTTTCCCTTAAGTCCTAACACAGGATAAGACTGTGGCAGAACTGTGAACAAAGGGCTGTAGGGCCAGAGAGGAAGGTACTAGTCAGGGACACGCCTTCACAGAGGAGGTGACAGGAGCTGGGACTTGAATAGAAGGGCATTTGCCAGGTGGCGACCCAGAGGCTTGCATCTGATTGGCCCTTGCCTGTACTTCCACCTTAGCACAGGGCTGGGCACCCAGCGGGGCCTTCCTAACTGTGTGTGGATGAGGAGAGGTTGAGCCCAGGAGGTAGCTCCCTGGGAGAGACGATGCCTCCTCGGAAACTTGGTGGGCTGCCTTCCTGCCATGCGCATCGCCCACCTCCAACAGTGCAGAGGCCACACGTGTGCTGCAGGGCAAGAACCACTGGCCCGGTCCATGAGCGACCTATGGGTGAGCACAGGTGTGCAAATGCTGGTG